ATCCACTAGAGCCAAATGTGATCCTGAGGGGTGGGGATTTGTTGCAAGAGGCGAATTACTAAGGGCCTTACCCAGAGAGTGTGTATCTCTCTCCTGGTGTCCTCCTTGTGCTCTGCTTCCTAGCTGTTAATGATGTGAGTAGATTTCATCCACCTAAACACTGCCACCATAGTTTCTATTCTTGTGCTTACCAAAAATGGGGTGAAATTTCTAAAAATGGGGGACAAAATAAACATCTCCTCTTTTAAAATTGTGTTGATCCAATATTGGTCCCAGTGCTGAAAAGAGAACTAGAATGATGAGGATGCTGAAAGAAAGCAGACAATAATGGCCAAGAGCCAAAGGATTCACTTGGAAACAAGTACTCCACTGGCAAATGGACTGGAGGGCATTTTGGTTAAACCCTGCAAGGAAACATTTCTGCATTTTCCCCATGTCTCCAGACTTTGCAGAAGACTTATATTAATTGATCTGGCTGAGAAACTACTAAGGCAATCCAACTTTCAGGCTGTGGCACTGGTCTTACTGGCTGATTTTAGACAGAATTATAGTGAGAACTACGTGCGAACACTAGAGCAGAAAATTTCAAAAAACTTAAAATTGGCCCCAAACAAATCACGTGTAAGGCTATGTTAAGCTGAAGAGCTTATTATCTTTAAAAAGAAGTGAAATACTTTAAATTGGGACAAGGAGTGTAGTCCTTGAGGGCATCATAAAAATAAGCAAGAACCTACTCACTGCAAGTTTAAGGGTGAAAAACAATAAATATATGAATGGAGACTGGAGCCCTGGGACTCCTGCTGGAGAAGGGGCTTGTATAAAATGGATTTTCCAATATTTGTTCCATCATGTTCAGGCCTCTAGGCACTCAGGCTGCTGCAACCAACAGTCCAAGGAGGCCTGGCTGTTGGTAGAGCTGGGGACAGACTTCGGTATCCCTCAAGTGACACTGGATGTATGAGCATGAAACATAAAAGAGTTTTGAAATTTAGGAGTTTTCTATTCAGATTTCAAAGAAAAATCTTGGAGGTTGGTCCTAGAGTCCTTGAAAGAGTAAAACCCGAAACTGTGGGAGTGAACATGAGGGTGAATTAGAAGTCATCAATGGCAGGAACGTGGACTGTCTGCCAAGGAAAGGTATACACTGTACGTAGAGACAACCTGAAAAAAAGGCTGTGTGAGTTACAACCAAGACAGTGGTGTGGGGTCCTCAGCCCGTAGATGTCACAGGGCACCTCCATCTCCTGTGGAACAGGATGTGAAGTAACACAATCTCCTAGTAGCTTGTTTGCTTTCGCTCTTGCTTTGATCCGATACTTTTTTATTCATATATAGCTGCCTTTTTGGATGGCATATTAAACCTGTCCATTGTGTTCTGAGATTAAATGGCCTGTGCTTCAAATATGACTGAAGTTCATGCCTATGACTTTGTTTTGAATCTCAATGCAACCTTTGACTTGCACTTTTGGAAATACCAGAACTACTGAGGCCCTGGGGAAGAGATTATTTGCATTTTGGTTGTAAACAAGTTTATATTAGGCTGAATTATTATATTGTTATTGTATTTATTTATTAAGTTTGATATGTACAAGTGTCAAGTTGAGCAGGGGTGGATTGTGACCTTTTATTATGCTATGTCAACTTGACTGGCTGAAGAGAAACATGGGATATTGGTGAAACACACATCTATGTGCAGCTCTTAGAAGTGAGATATTGAGTGCTATGTTTGTTTTCTGTCCCTTTATCCTTGGGCTGTTCTCTTTCCATGTTTCTTAGCCACTCGGAGCCAAGCAGCTTTGTCAGGCCAGATCTTTTTGTCATCATGTTACTGTCCTGGAGCCAAGAATCTGTGAACTGAGCTCTCTGAAACCAGAAGCCAAACAAAGCTCTCTTCCTTTAAATTATGGTGCCAGGTAGTTTGGTACCAGTAACAAGAGAGCTGACTAATTTACTTCCTACCACACAGTGGGATCTGGCTGAATTAAAGCCCTAATTCTGAAGGTTTGATAGGTCCAGTAACAACTGTGGGACATTATTCAATTTTTGATGTTTCAGAGTAAAAATGCATAGTGTGTAAATGTTAAATGGCAGTCATTTCATATTTCTCTGCAAAATTATAAATATAAAAAACATATTCTCACAACTTATTCTGTGGGGGAGTATCTAAAATAATTATAAACTCCAATTTCAGTACCTTGAGGGTTGGATAATTTGCCCTTACCCTTGTCATTTCTTTAGTTTTATAGAATGCTACTACAAATTCTTTTGGGATATTTAATTTAAAATTGCTTTCCATTAATAAATCCCTAAGTAATGTAGAAAATGAAATTTTATATTTCTTTTTTTTCAGATTAAATATTTTTTGCAGAGGACAAGGTGGTTATTAAGAGCCACATGGAGAGCCAGAGACCTCTTCAACACATTACACTCTTTGAGATTAGATAACAATTCTGTTTACAAATAATTAATATTTTGATACCTAGAAGTGACTTTAACTCATCTTTGCATAAAATTACTCTCTCGTCTTTTTATCAATACATGTAAATTTGGAAATAAATTCCTCATTGTCTTTCAAAGTCATGTAACAATGAATTTATATTTCAGTTTTCAATAAACAGGAAAAGTTACATATCAGATACTGAACAACTTTGAGGAGTTATGTGCTGTGGAATTGACTGAGATTTTGGATTGAAGTTAACTGCATGCACAAACTACGTACGCCTTTTAAACAATCTTTCTAATCTGGATAAAACCTTGAAATTACAGTACCAGGGTACTGTACCTGCTTCCTTTCACTGAAAGTCTGCCTTCTTTAGCTGGTATGTTGCACATGATACCAGGATGTAGACAGGCAAAAAATATCTAATTCAACTTCGTATTTTTCCTAATTTGTCTGAATATTTTGTATGCTCTAGAACTAAACATAGATATTTTAAGAAAAGTTGAGCAAACTCAATGAGCAGATTTTCCTGTTCCCATCACATATCACCTTGTCTCCTCACTTGTGTCCCTCCCGTGAAGAAGAGAAGCTGCATTTATTTTTGGTTTGTTTTGTTTTCATTCAGTGGTCTTCACTGTTAAGGTCTCACTGTCTTTATCTACAATTTATTTTTTTTTTTTTTTCACTCTGTCTGTATCTCTTTATTTCAACAAAAGCAGCTTTCACAGACAAGGTCTTTAATTATATTGTCTCCTACTGAGATACCTAAAGTGAGTTCTGTGCTGTTAGTCACTGAAGTCTACTCTGGGAAAGCTGTTTTTCTCTTGGTCCCAGTCCACATGGAGCTTTATTGCCTAACCTTGCCCAAATAGCAAGGTTGACTTCTTCAGTCGACACAGCCTTCTTACGGGTATGGCACGTGAATTGTTCACTGGTTATTTCTACCTGTTTTCATTAATTCTCCTTGTCGACAGTGACATACTGTTCAAAAAGCAGTTATGTTTCATGCCTGTTGGTATTTTGAGTAGTTATGTGTTCTTTCCATCATTTTCATTTTTTCCAAGGGACAGGATTTTCAAACGTGTTACACGGCAGATTGTTCAAGCTCCCTATACCTGCTTGAAAGTTCACATACGTTGAGCAACATCTCCCCCAGCCTCTTCTTCACCCATGCCAGTCCTGGTAGCCACAAAAGCACGCTCCACCCTGGTGAGGTTGGTGTCTCTAGATCCCAAACAGGAATGGAATTAAGGGAGAATTTCCTTTCTGTGCATGGCTTATTTCTTGTACCAGGGTTCAATAGGCCCATCCATGTTTTTGAAATGCCTAGGATTTGCTATGTCTTACAAGTAAACTAAAAGACAATATTTATATTCAAAACAATGTTTGTAATTCTCCATTAGTCACAAACATTTGGAAGATACCAAGAATAGGTGTTTTAAGAAGTGATATATTTCAAGCTAATAAAGTCCTTTAAAATAAAGTACTTTTGGAAGCATGTGCAGATCAATAATTTATTCAATCTCTGTTTAATCCTGTTCAGGATAATAAAGTGTCACAATAAATAACTTAGTCAATCTTTGAAACTAGGTTCGATTTTTTAAAAATATGTCATTGGCACATTGTAAATTAATGTCAATGATAGGTTTCAGGTCCAGAGGGCCCACTCACTGGAGGAGACACAGACTGATAAAAGCAATTAATACTTGACTCCTTAAAGCAATTTGTGCATAAGGTTTTTCACAGTTTTCTGCTTTATGATCAGTGAACCAATGTGAAAAGATGTAATTATTGAGTATGAGAGCATTTCAAATCCAAATTGACACCAGTCTCAGAAACTCACTTAAACACTTTGATAAAAAATGTTCAATCTATAAAATGACAATTAATACCTACTTTTACAAGGAATTTTTAAGGATGATATTTTTTTCTAAATTTGCAAATAATATAGAGGATTTTCTGGCAAGTATTAGCTTGTTTCTAGATGGAAATACCTTTCTAACAACTTTGCTTTGAAAAAAAAAGATTTTAAAATTCAATAGTATTAAAATGCATAAGTTAACATGGGTGATATCTTAACAAGTTTAGTTGCAGTCTTAATAAGATTACCACCTTCCTTAACACTCTAGCATTCACTATTGCCTTGATCAAATTTTGATACTTTTCCACAAGATCAACTGTGGCCCAAGGTAATAGATCTGTGTATTGATGAACGCACTTTTTGGGGTCTCTCTTAGGGGATACTTAACAGAAGGAATTATCTCTGGCCATTGACATTACAACCATGAGTTACTGGAAAGGAAGCATGGCACCACCAGGCCCTACAAGCTTGTTAGAGATGCAGAACCTTAAGTCCCATCCCAGCTGACTGAGTGATAATTTGCATTTAAACAATATTCCCAAGTGAAACTTGTGTATAAGCCAGAGAAAGTAGACAAAGGAATGCATGCATTTAGAATGAACAAATTCTTAGTTAACTTGGAGATATGTCTGGATGGAGTTGCAAAAGAAACTGAAGAAAGAAAAAGAGAAAAAAAGTGGATACAAAGCTCAATGTTACCTTTGTTTCTGGCCCAGTTCCAGAAGTTTCTGGACATCAGTTTTGGCAGACTGCTCATCATTCTTTAAAGACTGGCAAGAAAAATGGACAAAGAAAGTCTTATTCTGGTGAAAAGTGAGGCTCACTTTATTTTGGGGTGTACTGAGCAAGGTATGACCATTGGCACCTGAGATCTGAAACAGGAATACAAACACAGCTGTGACAGAGCTCAGGATGTTGGCAGGAAATCCCTTCCACAGGTCCCTGGGCTTCATGAACAGGGACAGAGGCTGAGCTCGGTCTTAGTTTTTCAAAGTTTGATGGAGGAGAAAATGCTCTCCAAATAGCTAGGGCTCTTTTTAAATGAGTATAAACTGCATGTTGCTCATTGCCTTTGAAGCTATACATTGTTCTCTGCAGGCATGTCCAACTACTTCTGGTACAGCTTTAACAAATACAATGGGACATAGAGGGACTCCCTGTGTAAATCAAGAAACAACTCAATTACAGATCAAAGCCATCAAAAGCAGATGCCTGTTTGCTCTAGTCTGTTTCTTACTCATCAGTCATGCATTAGAGTACATGAAATAGGTCTGTGTAAAATGTGAGTGGTCTCTATAAACAGGATGTGAAGAAAAAATATACAAAAATCTCAGTCATGAATGCTTATGCACTTTGGAAAATTCTGGACTCAGAAGCCATTAATTAAAGCACAAATTCTTCAGGAAGATTTTTTCTTCTGAGAATCTGTCATACAAAACTTAATAACTTTCTTATTTATATAAAATAAACTGTTTAATCAGAGAACCTGTCATTTTGGCACTAAAAGTTTCAAGGGAGACATGATGGTTGTGTTTATGGAGCTGTGATGGCAGGTTGGGAAATGACAGTAGCAAAGAGCAAATGCCCTCCTACTATTTATTTAACAAACTTCTCTCATGAAAGTGCAAAGAGCTATACAGAGGCATAATGACAGCTTCAGAAATCTCAATCTCCTGCTACAGAGAAGAAAATTGCACATGGTGTAATAAGTAGTATTGTTTTTATGTGGTGGGTTGAACCTCACATGAGAAGGTTCTTCCCTACAGCATCTGTCTGAGGTTTCCCTGGGAAGAAGCCCATAAGCTGTATGCTGCTTACTGAGGAGCAGCAGCTTCCCCCAAACACTATTAAGGCAGAAGGAGGGGATGCATGAGAAGGAATGTCATGGCTGGTGGTATTTAGCAATCCCAGTGCATCAGGGTCAAATGGCTCCTGTCAGTTCACTATCTCAGCTAACAAAAATAGAGATGTGAACTATAAAGCTTGGAGACACTGCACAGCTCACCTCTAAGAAGGTTAAATGGAGGTGTGGAAACACTGATGAAGTGGGCAATAAAAATGGGTTTATTCACTTATTGATGTTTTTATAGTCTAGACATTGTACAGGTTAAAAATTTAGGAAGTTGTACTGAAGAAATTTCATGTCACAAAATGAGGCTGTGGGCTGTGGTGGAACTCAGAGGTAGATTGTATCCTTGGCATAGCTGAGGTCCTGGATTCAATTTCCAGCACCAGAAAAAAATAAACACCCTTGAGATGCAGAAATGCAAAGTATATATAGTCAGATTTGAGTGAGCAAGGCATACCTCACTGGTGGAGAAGTGGGGTGCAAATCTTTGTACATCTCTGTTCCATTAAGGACATCAAAATTTAATATACCAGCTAATTCACCCACATGATTTCATACTTCTGGATATTTTCATCCTATTCAGGCACTATGGATGGAAAAGACTTTCAAATGCAAACTTCCAAAATTTTTTATGTTCTTCAACTTCTATTTTTAAAAAATGTATAGTGGATTAAATAGATGCTTACTCTGCATTTGGAACTTGAAGTTGCCACATTTTATGCATAACAGTTTAGCACTTCACGTGGCTTCTTTGAGACATTCAGGCCCATTTTATGATGAATATCGTATCTTAATTATGAGAAGTGTTTGCTGAGAAAATTCAATAAGATAAAACATTAAAAATCATCTTCTGCGAGTGGCTCGCACAAAACAAACAAAAAGTACTTTAAAAGCTCAACTATAGCCAACTGTATGATTCTTAAATTTTTCAAAAACTATTCCATGAGAGTATATTTTGTAGTCTTCAGTCAGATGCCTTGACGTAGGATACTGACACAGAGGCTGAGCATCTTTGTAACCCTGGATATGGTGACCAGGTTTGCACATCTGATCACATGCCTGCAGGAGTCTGGCAGTACCCTGTGTTCCACAGCTCTGAGAACCCAAATGTATCAAATGGTTTGCTCAGTTTGTGAAAACTGGTAGTGAATTTCCACTTAATAAAGTGCACCACAGACACTGGCTTCCTACAAAACTCACAATCAATCTGCAGCTTTTTTTTTTTTTTTCGATTGCTGTTTGCTTAATGATCTGTGCCCATTTCCAGAGTAGCACTGTTATTCCTGTGTTTCTGTCATTCCGTCATTCCAGGTTACTTATCTTTGTGGCCTAGTGGGGTTGAGTGGCCTTTCCTCTTATCTCCACCTTGCCCGTGACAGGACTTGCAGACCCAGAGCTTCGGCACTGTGTCCGAATACCACTTCTGTGCCTGAGCTGACTCAGTGCTCTTAATTTTGAAACCTTCATGTAACAGTTTCCTCATGGACACAGTGACAGATCTCCATGAGAAAATTAAATACAAGTGTCAGGAAGAACACTTGATACGGGGCCTGCGACCCATTTCACCAAGCCTTGGGGACTGCTGCTGTATTGTCATCACCCTGGTTATGTCACCCCGAAAGGAACAACAAACCGTGGAGAAGAGGTATAGTGGTAACTGAGTGCTGAGGAACACTCAGAAACAGAGTGCTGAGGAACACATTGCATTCTGTCTTCCTCTTTGACTTTCAAAGGTCACTCGTTTTCTCTAAGTGTTTTAGTTTATGTCAAGGAAAATCCAAAAACAATATTGCTTCATTGATATGAGAACTAAATTGTACAAAATGCACAAAGCATTTGTATAATGCACAAAGCAAATGTATAATACATGGTGATTAATATAAGCAATCTTTCAAGTTAAAGATTAAAACATTGTCAGCTATTGAGACTTATGGTTTGGAATATCTGTTCTTCAATGCATATTTCACTGCGGGGGTAAGTTTTAGCAGGTGGCCATCTGCTTCCTGATGTACTTGCCCATTTTAGGAATGAGATTTATTTTTGAAAATCTTTAGAGCTATTCTAGAGAGAATTTTAAATGCTTTTGCACAAATTATTTCTCCTTTATTTATTTAAGCTCAAGTCTAATTACTTTTCAACACTTCATAATGAGAAAAACACAGGGGTCAAACTGATCTAAGCAGCTGTGAGGAATGGATGGTTTTGCAGGGCCATTTCCTCCTTCCTGTATTTGGAAATCTGAGCTCGCTAGCCTGCATTTCAGATGCCGTTTATTTCCAAGCTGATGTAGTAACAATAATAAGTGCCATGGTGAAGCTCAGAAATACATTAAAGAACTCCTTAAAAACGCAGGTGAATCTAATGAGGCCACTCAGTGGCCTTTCATCCCTGGAGGTAATTAGTTTTCACCTCACCTGAAGGTTCACTTTAATTCCATCCAGCTCCTTGGATGTCTTTGTCAGCTGACGAAGGATGGTGCTTCTCTCCTTGAAGACTTCTCTCAGCTGCTTCTCCAGCATGCCATATTCCTGTCTGACACGGAAAGAAGAGATGTGAGAGCCTTCTGGACACTCCCTCCTCCCCTCAGGCACGGTCAGCAAGCCTCCCAGTTCTGGTAAAATCTACACGGAAGCTTGATGACTATGATGTGTTCTTGTTTTTTTTAATACTGAAAAAGAAAATTAGAATGAATCAAAGATTTGTTGTTTGGATGAGAATGATCCAAGCTCCACAGAGGTTCCAGGACAACACTGTAAACCTTCTATACATGTAATGTCATTTGCTAGGACCTTTTTGGAAAATAGGTATTTTTATAGTAATGTTCTTATTTTTTCCTCAAGTTTTTAAAATTTAATGACAGAAAATATGATCTGAAACAATATAGCTCAGATACATGGACAGGTTGTGATTTGGGGGAACAAACTAAAGAGTTGACCCAAAACAGGAATGAAGGGGTTCATTTCTACCCTGTTTCCCAGAGAAGTAAAACCCCCTGAGTAAGCACCACAGCAGACAGGTGGAAGAACCCGTTACTATGAAAAGAGTAACAAGAAGCCAACATCTCTACAAAAATCAGACAAGAAATACAGTAACTACAGGGAATTGTGAACCAAGTGAGTAAGCTGGGACTCTCAAGTCCTGTTCAAGGGGAAAATAAGCATATGTGTGTGCACGCGCAGATGTGTGTGTGTGTGTGTGTGTGTGTGTGTATGTGTGCGTGCACGCGCGCGCATATGCACATGTTGAATGGTTAGGAAGGAGACAAAGTAGACATTTTCCACTGCTCTTAAACAGGAATTGATAGTGGAAGATTACTGTGGTAAACCTAGAGACTAAGAAGAGCTTCAATTCAGGAATTACACTAGAAAATGTAATCTAAAATATATAAGATGAAACTTAAAAGGTAAATACAAATTAGCCATATGCAAGGAGAAAGCACTTATAAAAACAATGGAAAATAAGCTGAGTAACTTTTTTTTTTTTTTAAACGCGACTCCATTACACTTGAAACCTGCACTGAGAGGTGAAAGATTTGCTGTAGACATGAGGGTGCGAAAAATACAGGCAACACACACAAGCGTAATAAGTGAAGTTTAGGAGGCTGGAGACTGCTTTGAGAAGAGGAGAATGAATGGAAAGTTTGTAAGTAGGGCATATTACAGTCATATTTATCTCCTGGAAGGATTTTTCTATCTGAAATCTCAAGAGTGAATTGGGTCAGGTGAATCTGGATAGAAAGAATATTAAGAAAATTAACATTGGCCAGGGATAAAACTCTGAGGCATAAGTGCCTGCCTGGCAAGCACAAGGTCCCGAGTTCAATTCTAGGAGTCAAGAAGAACAGAAAAAAAAAAAAAAAAAAAAAAAAGAGGAAAAGAAGAGAAATTTAAAATTGCAAAAGGCATGGCAAAAGTTCATGGTTGTCCAACTCTATCAGAAGCAGTGGCATAGGAAAATTTGGATTGCTTTTTCACAAAATATCCAAAATGAAATCAATAGGATGCCTGGTTGCTCAAAAATAATTTTGTCTAAATGTGTTATGGAAACAGTGGGAGGGAAAATGTTAATAACAACACCATCTTCTGGCTTAGGCCGCTGCTGAACAATGAAAGGAAAAGCATGTGAAGAAACTCCACCATAGGACGGAAGTGATTTTAGTGAAATATGTGTTGACATATTTGACCCTAAACATGTAAGAAAATGGAAAAACCCTCAAAGTTTCAGTTTCTTTATCTGAAAATATAACACTGACTTCACCCAAATGTAGCATTGACTGGTCCCATTTTTTTTTCCTAAATGGAGTAATATATAAAGCTTTAAACCCATAGTAAATAATTAACCTAATGCTACATAATTCATTTACACTACATTGTTCAGAACTTTATAATCATTCTGCATTTTATCAAAGGATTTGGTATATCAAGGGCTTTGGAGATAATAATTTATCCCATGTGGATAGGCTTCTATTACAATTCCTCAACATTTTTTTACCTATTAACCATGGGACTCTCTCAAATCCTCCTTACATTCTTGCTAATAGTAAGTTAGCATGGCCCAGTGATAAGACCTATAATATTTCTCACTGGCCTTGAGATTTTCAGTGACAAACAATAACCTCTCAGCTATCAGATAATTATTTGGCAGTCTCTAGATCTATTATTGATACCTACATTTACCCTCCACAAAAATTTTTAAATGTATGTTGATAAATGTTTTTCTTTATGAGAACTGTATCCTATGAGAACATACATTTTCTCTATTCTGACATGATGCTTAAAATTTATGCATTTTGTGAAAATATGTTATTTTTATAATACTAACTTAATCTTGGAATTTTTAAATACGCATTTTTCAATTCAATATTGCAGGTCTATGTAATGGATTTTTGTACATGATTTTACATTTATCAATTTACTTATTGCTAAAGAATTATCTGTAGAACCTTGTGGGTTTTTATATGTCTATCATACAAGAATGATAATTTTCCTTTTCTTCATTTATTTGGTAGAGTTAGGAAAACTAAAGTACAATACTGTAGGTCTAAGTTTGAATTGAGTATAATTTTACATCTATTGTATTGTTTTTGTCCCAACATGTCACAAGCCTAAGCTTGATTCAAGAATTAGAGTCATGTACTTTATTTAATACATGGAGGAAACTTCAGAATCTTATTGTAAATGGAGATGAATGCAAGAATTCTGGTCGTGTATGCAATCTGCCCCATAGCCACAAATACTTGGTTAACTCCTATGTATTTCATTTCTCATAAAATATACCTTCAAGTACTCATTGCATTCTGCATGGATAGTTTTTCAATGCTTTATAGAGGGTTTTTATTTTACATTTTTGTTCAGTTTTTCAACTTGTTTCTTAGGAAGCATTCATCAGGAAGAACGACAAGTTTGTCCAATTTCACCTAAAATTAGTGCTATCAAATCAGTGTTTAATTATTAACTTTATCTCTCAAAAATCATGAATCATTTTCCCAAATTCAATCTCTTCTCAAACACTAAATATTTAAACACTTGTATTTGACTCTACTCAGTCTTCATTCTGAAGCTATTTTTTGAACTGTATTAGATGGTATTTTTTTTCCTTCTCTGATCCATTTAATGTACAGCTTTCAAACTAGTCTTTGTAATTTAAACTCCTACTTTGACCAACTCGCAATTCAAATTATCAGTGGTTTCTTCAGCCATGTCAAGGTCAGGACTTGAACCTATATTAATTGTTTTACAGTTTCCTTGGATCAAGTTTCATGTCTTTTTTCTCATATGTCCTGTGTTCTGATAATCACTAAAGAGAACACCTCAAAAATATTTAAATATGATGTATTTTAACATGTATACATTAACTGCACTGAGATTAATTTGCTAAGTAAATATATGTTTAAATAATTCCTAAAGATCAATCAGTTCCATCATGTTCTCCAGAGTTTTAAGTTTTTATTTTCACAAATCAAATTTCTACATACAACAAGTCAAACCCCTCAATTCCTGATCAAGGGTTTCCCTGTTCTTTATCTGTCTCTTGTGTTTCATATAATAGTAATGTTGTACAATTTACATATTTGTCTCACTCACATATTTGGCTGCCAGAAAGTAGCCTACCAAGGGCAGAGTTTTTCAGCAGACAGGGTTGGTTTGGTCCTTTACTGCTGTGTAGGATTATTAAATACAATAAAGAAGAGTGATTTGGGCAGGGATTGAGCTCAACAGCACAAGCACTTCCCTGCTAAGCACGAGGATGTGAATTCGATTCTTGATACAAAAAATGTTATTCTAATCAAAAGAAGCAATATAACCAATGCCAATATGGATAGAAAAGTGCTGAATTAAGATGAACTATTAATCATCAAGCAATATAGACTAGAGACATCACACCCACTGGGTTATATTGAGTTTGTTTTCAATTATATTTCTAATAGTAACCACTAAACTTTTCAAAAATAGAGGCAAGGCAATGTGAGAGAAAATTTGATAGTGTTGGGAATTACGCCTGCCATTTCTCAAGTGTATACCTTGGAGTAAATGAGAAACAAGAGACAGGCTGTCTCCTATGACATCAGCATTATATCAAGCTAGACGTGGTTTTCAGAAAGATTTTTATTCTGTTCAATGAAAATACAGTCACAAGACACTGATTTAATCTAGTATCCATCAAAGTAACATTAATTTAAAAAATCAATCTAAAAGTCCATACCTAAAGACTTTATGTACTGAAGAATTTGAAAAAGCCGTCCTACATATATGTCAGATTGAGGAAAATTTACAGGGAAATTTTACCTCTGTCTTGATTTAAAATTTGAATGACTTTCTCCACTAAGACAGCTGATTCACTGTGGTTGTTACACTTAGGAGATTCGTGAATCTTTTTCTACTCTCATTTTCTACTCTCAGAAAATATTTCCCCAACATACATATTTACAAATTTTAAGAAAAATATCTCCATTGGAAATGAATACCTTGATTGTTGTAGCCAGGGTTTCTGAGGAGAACAATTAAAATCAGGACACAGAATATATATTAATTCATAATGGTAACCAGAGTTAAACACAAGAAACTGCAGGAAATCTGTCCACAACACTAAGGACCCAGAATATTCATCCAAGGCCATGGATCCCACAGCAATGCCTTGCACAATTCCAGCTGAAGACCTAGAGCTCATGATAGTGCCTCCCATGTGTCCAACTGGAGGTCTAGAGCCCAGGAGAAAGACTCAAACCAGCGTTTTATGAATCTGCACTGGGAAGGCCAAAAGGTCAGTGATGGAAGCTAGAAAGTCTTTGCCATGGGGATGAAGAAGCTGTACTGGTAGTTTGAGGGTTCTACACTAGAGCCAAGAAATCATGCTCAAAACAAGGATCAGAGCTGCCCTGAAAAGTACCACAGCTATCCTCAGTGACACAGATGTGCCGAGCTCCTCTGACAATGAGAATAGTCAAGTACATGCCATAAAGCCAGCATGCAGAGTTTGTCCTAGAGATTAAACAGCACCCACCCCCCCCCCCAGCCAGGAAGCGATGCTTGAAT